AATGAGTTGGAGCTCATTCATTTATTCATCAAACATTTGTTGAATATTTTCTATTTTCAGGCTCTGGGAATTAAAGCAGAGAGCAGAACTTCCCTGGTGTTGCAGTGGATAAGAATCCAAATCCACCTGCCAATGCAGGAGACATGGGTTTGATCCCTGGTCTGGAAGATTCCACATGCCATGGAGCAAATAAGCTCGTGTGCCAAAACTTCTGAGCCTGATCTCTAGAGCCCAAGAACTGCAATTACGGAGACTGTGTGAGGCAACTACTGAAGCACGCGCCTAGAGCCTGTGCTCTGCAAGAGGAGAAACAACCACAAGGAGAAGGCTGTGGCCTACAAGCAAGAGCAGCCACCACTCACCGCACCCAGGGAAAGCCCATGCAGCAGCAAAGACCCAGTGCAACCCAAAATAAAGAAATAAATAAAAATTTTTATAAGAAGAGCAAGCAAGACAAAGTGTCTCTTAGTGTTGACCTTCTCATGGTAAGAAACTAGTTTATGAGTTAACAAATAAAATGTCAATCTCAAGGAAATGGATTTGGGATTGTGGTTCTTGGACCAAATTTAGCAGCAAAGTAAGAAAGTAAATGGATATTATTGTTGCAGGAAGGGGGACCCTTCCAGGACCTTAGAGTGGGCTCTTGCCTAACATTCTGAAATGAATTGTCTGAGGAGACACATTAGCTAAAAAAGAAAGAGACTTTATTGGAAAGGGGCACCCTGGCAGAGAGCAGGAGGGCGAGGGAACCAGGAGAACTGCTTTGCCACGTGGCTTGCAGCCTCGGGGTTTATGGTAATGAGACTAATTCCCAGGTTGTTTTTGACCAATAGTTCTGACTCAGAGTCCTTGCTGGTGGTGCACGCCTTGTTCAGCCAAGATGGATGCCAGCAAGGAGGATTCTGGGAGGTGGTAGGACACGTGGTGTCTCCTTTTGATCTTTCCTAAACTCTTCTGGTTGGTGCTGGCTTATTAGTTCCATGTTCCTTAATAGGACCTCCTGTTGTAAAATAGCTCATGGAAATGGTTACTATGGTGCCTGGCCGGGTGGGCGGTTTCAGTCGGTGTGCTTCCCCTAACATTATATCAGAGTCCAGTGGACTGGGATGAAATGACTTTTCTGGATTTGGTCCCCTCTCCCATGGGGACCAGGTCCCATTGTTGCTCATTCAAACCTGTTATGTCAGGTCTCCCCGTGCTCATGGTACCAAGTAATGTTTTGCAGAAGATTTTCACTCTCATCTCAGGTTCAAAGGATTTGTTAATAAAATAAGCCACTCATTAAATACAAATAAATAATACCATCATTTATTAGAAAATTTTCTAGTTTACTTTCAGTATACTAACATCTTAAAAAAGAGAAATAGAAACAGCAGAGAACACATCACCAAACTGGGTTTTGACCAACATCCAGATTCAAACAGCTCTGGGAAGTCCCATGACACAGTACATCTGGAGGCCCAGCTGGGAAAAGGTCCCAGGCAGTGCATCTTCTCTGCGGGTGAGACTTCAAAAATTGCAGTTCGGTCTCCAGCTTATAATCCCAGGATGCAGACAGATATCAACATCAATCTGTGAGCAAATAGCCCTCAGTCAGTTCAGTTCTGTCTCAGCGGTGTACAACTCTTTGCAACCCCGTGGACTGCAGTTCTGGGTTCATGTTAATGCTGTTTGTTTTATCCTGTAAAACTTGGAATGTTGTTAAGCTGGGGCTTGGTTGACCAGACCCCGTTCAGGGGCCCAACAGTCTCAAGGTCCATCCCCTATGTTATCTGTGGTGCCACAAAGCTTGCACTCAGCAGGCAGTCAGGTCACTCGCAGTCAGGGCAGTGTCCAGGCAGGTTAGAAGCAAGGTCAAAGGCCTGCTCTGCTTGGTCTCTGAAGCCTAAACAGGACATGAGTTTGAGCAAACTCAGGGAGATAGTGAAGGACAGGGAAGCCTGGCCTGCTGCAGTTCATGGGGTCACAAAGAGTCAGACACAGCTCAGCGACTGAACAGCAAAACAAGACTATTTAATTTCCCTAAGACTGCAAAGCCCCAAGAAGGCAACCCAGGAACAGCTTTGTCCATCCTGGCTCTTAATCACTGTGGCATGTTGTAGGTACGTGTGAATTTTTAGGGAATAAATCAGTTGCAAAATGCACCCAAGGAAAGCATAGGGTTTGGTCTGGGAAGACTGCAGATGCTGTGGGGCAGCTAAGCCCAGGCACCACAACTACGGAGCCTGTGAGCTGCAATTGACAAAGACCACGTGACTAGAGCTACTGTACAAGAGAAGCCACCGCAGTGAGAAGCCGGCTAGCCACCGGAGAAAGCCTGTGAGCGGTAACGAAGACCCGGTGTAAGAGGAGGGAAAGGTGTAGGGCACAGCTCTTGAAAGAATGACACAGGACACAACATAAACCAATTGTAATCAAACGGGACCAAGACAGCAGACAAAACTAGACCTTGATCCTCGCTCAGCAAGTGCAATGACACACCCAGAGGTGCCCTGACCGTTCCAAGGCACTGCTAAAAGCCAAGGAGTGGGCGGTGGCTCAGTCCTGAAAATCGCCACCCCTCCCCAAAAATAGTTGGAATAACCTTCCCACTCATTAGCATATGAAATTACCCAGCCTATAAAAACTAACCAGGGCAAATTTTGCATCCCAGCCACATGGATTCGAGTCCCAGGCAAGGTTTTGTCTGGGTTTGAGTCCCAAGCAAGGTTTTTGACTTGGGGCCTGGCTGGGGGGGGGGGGGGGGGGCATGTTTTGAGTCCCAGCCACGTGGGTTCAAGTCCCAAGCAGGGTTTTGGCTGGGTTTGAGTCCCAGCACACAGGTTCAAGTCCCAATCTGTGGTAAACGGTTTCACCAGCACAACCAAAAATAAATAAATCTTTAAAAAAATTTTTTTAAAGAAAGCATAGAGTTTGACCCACTTGACTGAATCATTGCAGGGCATCTGGTCAGCCTAGAAACTGCATCTTCTTCAATAGCTGACCTTAAGCTAAACTTTCCCAAAAAAGCAAGCAGCCACTCTCACTTTCTGACAGCTCTTTTCCAAGATCCTTGAAGAGAATTGTATTTTATGTCTTCTCTTCTCCACAGCAGGGATACAGGCACACACCTCATCCATCCCCGTGCAGTTTCAGCTTCTAAAGAGAAAGAGCCATGACCAAACCCAATTGCCATTTTAGCTGATTCAAAATTACATTTGCTGGATAAAAGTTGTTCCTACAGATCCTGACTTTGTTGTACCATGACTATGTAGCCATGAGTGATACCCTAGCCTGTATATAAGTGAGTCTGGGCCAGGTCTAAGGAAGGGTCATGCCTAATCCCCATGCCAGATGCCTACACCTCCAGTGGGTCTTGGCTTCAAGAATCCAGGCTTGCAAATGTGGAGGAAACTGTCATATGTTTTAGAATTAACAGAAGGAAGCCATGCATAATTAAGAGGTTAAAAATTTTTTCAATGGGATAGAGGTCACATTAAAGGATTGAAGATTTTTCAAAAAATAGATTGGAGATCCACTGCATCTACCTGGTGTAGATCAAAATCACAAAGTTAATAAAATACTCCAAGAGAGGAAGGTGAGTGTCGGACTCCAAGTAGCCCAGGCAGATGGTCCTAGTTGAGATGGACCTAAGGAAGAATGAGGAGATGGCCCATAAGAGCTAGGAGCAGGGAAAGCATTCTAGGCAAAGGAAACCACAGGAGCAAATGCATGGAGGTATGAAGGACATAGAGAAAGTGAAGTGGCCAGACCAGGAATGGGGCTTTGGAGATGCCTTAGAACTATCTTCCTGGGAACCAGAGAGGAGCTTGGACCCTAGGAGAGACTGACAAGGAAGATGGAGGGGCTGGCTAAGCTAGTGATAATGGGCTAAATGAATCTGAGGGGCCCAGGTGTGGGAAGTAAAGCCCACTGGCCCAAACGCAAGGGATGGACTTGGAGACATGAAGAGCAGCAAGAAGCAAGGCTTTAATAACAATCTTGTGAGGTCCTGTGTCTGGTGGGCAGGCTTACCTAGAGTAGTTATAATGGGGTTTTTACCCACTCAGCACATAAGTCGCTCCCCTAGTCCCTCACTGACTGAGTACTATGGGGTTAACAATCTTCCTGAGGAAGTCACCTGGATTTATTACTCTCTTTGGATTTTCCCACGCAAGTATCCTGACAGCTATTACATCAGCAGGCTATCACTCTAGGCTAGTTGTCCTTGAAAATGGACCACTTTAAGATTTTATTTCTTAAACAGTTACCCCTGACCCACAAGCATCAGGTTTTTTAATGTCAGAAGAAAGCTCCAGGTCTGGGCATTTTATGAAATGAAACTTGGCCCCCTAGATCAGTCAGCTTAGGTTAAATATGCCGCAGTAGCAAGTAGTGACCTCAAAATCTTAGTGACTGACAGCCACAAAGCTTCGTTTCTTGGTCATGTCAATGTTCCTCATGGCTCAGCCGAAGCTTTCCCTGAGAGGGTCGTCTTCATTTCAGGACCAAGGTTGAAGGAGTGACCCCTCTCTAGGAAGAGTTGGTCTTGTGTCAAGAGCAAAACAAAGATTAAACTCACACACTCACAAGACTCCTAAGACTCCTTCTTACAAAAACCACTACAATATTGTAAAGTAATTAGCCTCCAACTAATAAAAATAAATGAAAAAAAAAAAGACTCCTTCTTAGCAGTGGCACACAGAAATTTCCATAACTCCCATTTTATTATCTCAAGCAAGAACATGGCCAAATCTGGATTTAGTGGGGGTGATCATTAAAATCTTCCTTTAGGGATGGGCCTGAGATTGCTCCTGGAGAATTTCTTCTATTCAGCAAACATAACAAAGGAGATAAAGGGTGAACAAATATTGTGCCAAGACAAGGAACCTGGGCTTTGGAGAAACATCTTTATTGTTGCCTGCGGGATCTCAGTAACCAAAGAGGACAGGGATGGAGGGTTGAGGAGGCTTTGCAAGGGGTCTAAATCAGTCCTGAGGAGTGGAGTGGAGGGGCCTAAGTCAGCAACTCTGCCACTTCTCACAGAAGAAAGCAAGAGATTCCGATTTGCAAGAGAAGTTACCCCAATGCCCATGATGGAGCATCATCATGCAGGCAGGGACAGTTCCATTATCGTGTAGTTCATTGGAATCCCACTTCCTGTAAACAGCAGCCCACCAAATCCCTCAGAAGTTGGCCTAGGGCCTGGAGTTCCTCAGCCCTACCCTCTGTGAGTGAGGGTTTGGCCCTGAGGCTCTTGCAGCTCCCCAGTAGAAGTTATTTATTGAGGCCATCTTACAGTAGCCATCTGGTCAACCCCTTCCTATTTTTTTTTTTTTTCCTTTTCTCCAAGTGGAGACACTGAGCTCAAAGAGAAGTGGCAATAGACAATGGTCTTCAGAGAAGCTGAGGGTCTCCAAGCTTCTTGGACACCTTCTCTGACTGTCCCATCCCATTAGCTCTCTCCCTTTCTCTGAGGTCTGTTTCACCCTAAAGCCAGACAGACCTCGTCCAAATTCTATTTCTGGTCACTTATTATCTATGTGACCACAGTAACTGTCTCAATGTCTCTGAGCCTCTGTTTTCCTCTTTTTCAAAATGGGAGTATGTTGAAAAGGTGATGACTGGTGCATGTAAAATATACAGCAAGTGCTTGGACAGCTCAGAGTTTACCATGGAGATGACTTCTGCCTTGGGCTGGGACCTATACAGACAGGAAAATGCAAGGCGGCAGAGAGAAAATCACAAGTAAAGACAAAGAAGGTGAGGATACAGGTAAATGCTGGGAAGGTACAGTGGGCTCAGTTTTGTCCCCTAGAAAAAGATAGGCCTATATCTGGAGAAAAGCATGATTTGAAAGGATACACGCACCTGAATATTCATTGCAGCACTGTTTACAATAGCCAAGGCATGAAAGCAAACTAAATGTCCATCAGCAGAGAGCTAAAGAAGATGTGACATGTATATATGATGGAATATTACTCAGTCATTAAAAAAAATGAAATAATGCCATTTTCAGCAACACAAATGGACCTAGAGATTGTTATACTAAATAAAGTAAGTCAGACAGAGAAGGTGGAATGTCATATGACATACCTTATATGTGGACTCTAAAAAGAAATAATACAAATGAGCTTAGTTACAAAACAGAAAGAGACTCACAGACTTAGAAATGAGCTTATGTTTATTGGGGGAAAGGGATAGTTAGAAAGTTTGGGATGGACATGTACACACTGTTATATCTAAAATGGATAACCAACAAGGACCTATTGGTCCTTGAAACCAAGGAAGCTCATGGTTAACATGCTCAGTGTTATGTGGCAGCCTGGATGGGAGGGGGTTTGGGGGCAGAATGGATACATGTATACATATGGCTGAGTCCCTTCACTGTTCATCTGAAACTATCACAACATTGTTAGTCAGCTATACCCCAATACAAAATAAAAAGTTCAAAAAAAAAAGAAAAGATATGCCAACATCCTAGCCCCTGGTACCTATAAATGTGACCTTACTTGGGAAAAGCAACTTTTAAGATGCAGCCTGATCTTCTTATCCACCTGATGTGAAGAATTGACTCATTTGAAAAGACCCTGATGCTGGGTCTTTCAAGCATCTTTCAAAGGTTGAAGGCAGAAGGAGAAGAATGAGACGACAGAGGATGATATGATTGGATGGCATCACCGACTCCATGGACATGAGTTTGAGTAAGTTCTGGGAGTTGGTGATGGACAGGGAAACCTGGCATGCTGCAGTCCACGGGGTCGCAAAGAGTCGGACATGACTGAGCAACTGAACTGAACTGAACTGAACTGAAGACGCAATTAAGTGAAAGATCTTGAGATCATTTTGAATTGAGTTAGCCCTAAGTCCAAGGACAAGTATCTGTGTAAGGAGAAAAGGAGACACATATACAGAGGAGAAGGCCATGTGAAGATGGAGGCAGAGACTGGAGTGATGTGGCCACAAGCCAAGAACACCTGTAGCCACCAGCAACTGAAAGAGATATGGAAAGATTCAACCCTAGAAACTAGGGGGAAGTAGCCCTACCAACACTTTTATTTGGGACTCCTAGCTTCTAGAACTGTGAGAGAATAATTTCTATTGTTTGTAGTCACCCCATTTCTAGTACTTTGTTACAGTAGTCACAGAAAACTCATACATTTGGCAAATGCTACATTGTTATACCTGGACTGCAAGGAGCTCAAACCAGTAAATCCTAAAGAGATATTCATTAGAAGGATTGATGCTGAAGCGGAAGTGCCAATACTCTGGCCACCTGATGTGAACAGCTGAATCGTTGGAAAAGACCGTGATGCTGGGAAAGATTGAAGGCAAAAAGAGAAGGGGGCAGCAGAGGGTGAGATGGCTAGAGAGCACCAATGACTCAATGAACATGAATTTGAAAAAACTCTTGGAGACTGTGAAAGACAGGGAAGCCTGGCATGTTGCAGTCCATGGGTTCGCAAAGCGTCGGACACTAGCTTAGCAACTGAACATACACTGTTATACTCCTGAGTAGGCCCAGTTCACACCTCAGCACCCTGGAGGCTCTGAGAAGTTCTGCAACAAAGAAACCAGACTGGCATTAAATCCACTGTTTCTCAAGCATGTAAACTGAGAAAACTATTTTTGAGTAACAGAATAGCAATAGGTGATATAACAGAAAGGATGTCAGGTGGTTCTGGAGCTGCTGTGGGTGATCTCTAAATGTGAATGAATGAAAGGAGAATAACTATAGTCATAAACTCACTCCTTGAAAGTCCTCCAGTCTCTCGGAGGGAGACTGTTTTGTGTGGCAAAAGGAAACTGCATCCCAGACAGGGAGACTCACGTGTCGGTGGGGGCTGAACCATCAGTCCACCTGGGGGCACCTCCTTGGCCCTGGAAGAGGCCTATCCAGTATGTCACCTGCCCAGTTGATGTCAGGAAGTCCTAGATGGGAAAAGGCAAATTTGCAAGGTGGGATTCCATCAAAGCTGAAAGGATGGAGGTCCAGGGGGTTGAGGAGGGCTAATGTGCAGAGAAAGCCACAGGTGGGCAGACAGACAGATGCAGTCCCAAAGAGCATCGCTTTCCATCCTGACTCCAAACTCCAGATCCACTGTGTTCATGTCGTATGGCCTCAGACAAGTTACCCACCCCTTGGTTTCCCAGTCCATACAAAGGAAAGTATTGAGTCTCCACCTCCTAGTATATTCTCAAGATCAAAAGAGTCAATGGGACTTTCCTGGTGATGCAGTGGATAGGAATTCGCTTGTCAATGCAGAGGAAATGGGTTCACTCCCCAGTTCAGGAAGATTCCACATGCCATGGGGCAACATAGCCTGTGCCCCACCCATTTTTCAGATAAGAAAAACTAGGCTCAGAAAGGTACATGGCCTTTTCTAAGGCAACCAGCTAGTGAACATCATGGCAAGGATTTTATTCAAGCATATCTGACTGTAGAGTCAGGTCTCTATACAAAGTCAGTGGGGAACCTGGGGTTCTAGGTGGATGAGCTTTGGGAAGACACTGATTAATGACTCAGGCCAACTCTCACTCCTTCAGCCAATACAGATCCTCAAATGCCTCTGAGGCTAGTGAGGAGGTCATATCCTTTCTGTCACTATTGTCATCCCCCCAGGGACACAGACCAGCCACTGCGGTGCCAGCCCTGCAGACCCACTTCTGCAGGCTGGGAGCTGATGCACCTGCTTGTCTAAAGCCACCCTGTCTCTCCTGGCCCAGCTATCTTATCTTTGATCAGGACCATGCTAAGGATACTGACTTTGAGAAGCAGGATCAGGGACACAACAATGCAGAGATACTTCTAGGTCTTGTCCTGGGACTTATGTCCCCATTGCCCTGGAGGGAAAGCAGGTCAGCCTCCTTCTCCTTCTCCCAGGGACATACACTCTCGCTCAGATGGCTAAATGTACTGTCAGACCAGCTAGGGGAAATTACCATATCCCTGGCAGTATTCTGGGTTCCCTACTAGACCAACTTGATGTTGAAAACTCAGGAAAGGCTAGGAAAAGAAATCCATTATTTCAGGATGAACGGTCATGAGGGTGAAGGATGATGAGGTGAGGAAGGGACCTCAGGAAAGTTCGAACTCCAAGCATTCTTTTCCTCTGACCTGTGGTTAGGGTGTTGGTACAACCCAGCACCCAGCTGTTGATGGTATGGAAAAGGGCTCCTTGTCCCTGCTCCTGAACTCACCAGTTCCCCTCCGACGGCAGGGAGAGTTTGGCTCTCAACGCTGTTTGATCCCTGGGATCTCTGTAGTCTCTGGCTTCAGCCATGGTTTCAGATTACTCAGCTCTGAGATGCCCCCACCCCTCAGGGCTGTGCTGGGCAATACCACTCCACCCCTGAAAGGAAACACACACACCTGCTTCCCCAGCTCTTCTACATTTCCCTTACTTCCTGGCTCAGCATGGGGCCCAGAATCTCTAGGTGGATGATGAGCAATTATTCTAATAGAGGGAGGGACCTGGGCACCTGAGTGCAAGAGGCAGTGGATATCCAAGTGGTTAAAACACAAGATAACCCAGAATTAAATCCATTGAGAAATTTATAGACGTAATGGAAATGTTCTCTTATCTTGATTGTGGTAGTGGTTCCATGCCAATGCCAAATTCATTAAAATATATAATTTAAAATAAGGGCTGGACGTCCCTGGTGGCGAAGTGGATAGGAATCTGCCTGCCAATGCAGGGGGCACAGGTTTGACCCCTGGTCTGAGAAGATTCCACGTGTCATGGAGTAACTACATCCATGTGACACAATTACTGAGCTGTACGTTAGAGCCTGGGAGCCAAAAATACTGAGGCCACGTGCTGCAACTATGAAGCCTGTGGACCTAGAACCTGAGCTCTACAATAGGAGAAGCCACTGCAATGAGAAGCCCAGGCACCACAGCTAGAGAGGAGCCCCTGTGTGCGGCCACTGGAGAAAGCCTGGACACAGCAACAAAGACCCAGTGCAATCAAAAATATGATTAACCACTGAATGTTGTGCAGGAGAAACTTGGAGAAGGAAATGGCAACCCGCTCCAGTATTCTTGCCTGGAGAATTCCATGGATAGAGGCACCTGGTAGGCTACAATCCATGGAATCACAGAGTCAGACATGACTCAGCAACTTTCACTTCACTCAGAGTAGAAATTAACAAAATATTGTAAAACACATAAAAAATATTTTATAATGAAAAATAATGAAAAAATAAATAAAAACTTATCCAGAAAAACTCTTTAAAATTTTTTATTTTAATATTTTTATTTTTATTGGCAATCAATGTTGATTTTATTGCTTAAGTGCAATTAAAAATTATTGTCTTATTTAACTTATAAGACAAATGTTCATTTTGTTTTTGGAATAAAGAGAAAAGAAGTTAAAAATAAAATAAAACAAAGGCATTTATGTAAATTATACATAATGGAGCTCTTAATGCAAAACTAAATTATATTGTTTACAGATATACACAAGGGTAGAAAACAGTAAAGAAAATCGATAAATGATTTTCAAAAATTCAAGATAATAGATAACTGGAAAATTAAACTATGTGATGAGAGAGGAATATGTGGAGGCTTCTGGGTCTAGGACAAGCATCTTTTGCTGTGCCTGGGTTGCAGATGTATGAACATGCATTATGTATTAATAATTACCCATTGAATAAATACCCATTACATTTATGTCAATGCATTTTTTTATTTTGCATTATTGTTGTTGTTCAGTCACTAAGTCATGTTCAACTCTTTGCAACCCCATGGTCACACGTCAGGCTCCCCTGTCCTTCACTAACTCCCAGAGCTTGCTCAGACTCATGTGCATTGAGTCGGTGATCCCATCCAACTATCTCATCCTCTGCCACCCTATTTTCCTGCCTTCAATCATTCCCAGCATCAGGGTCTTTTCCAATGAGTCAGCTCTTTACACCAGGTGGCCAAAGTATTAGAGCTTCAGCATCAGTTCTTCCAGTGAATATTCAAGGTTGATTTCCTTTAGGATTGACTGTCAAGGGCCAGTTAACTTGGTTAGAGCATGATGCCAAAATCACAGGTTCAATCTCATGTACAGGCCACACTCTTCGGTCTCCTCAGCAAGGAGGTTGCCAACTGTTTGGAGAAAGGAATGGCAAACCACTTCAGTATTCTTGCCTTGAAAACCTCATGAACAATATTCACATTATATTTCACAATAAAATGTTAAAAATGTTGTGATAAGGGATACAAAATTACTTTGCAAAGTTAAAATGCTATATAATTGCTAAGTGTTAGATAGACAGATAAATATACTCTGGTACATATACTTTTATGTTAAGGGGCTTTTAAAAAGCAAGAGAGTTCCAGAAAAATGTCTATTTCTGCTTTATTGACTATGCCAAAGCCTTTGACTGTATGGATCACAATAAACTGTGAAAAAGTGTGAAAGAGATGGGAACACCAGACCACCTGACCTGCCTCTTGAGAAACCTATATGCAGGTCAGGAAGCAACAGTTAGAACTGGACATGGAACAACAGACTGGTTCCAAATAGGAAAAGGAGTATGTCAAGGCTGTATATTGTCACCCTGCTTATTTAGCTTATTAATGCAGAGTACATCATGAGAAACACTGGGCTAGAGGAAGCACAAGCTGGCATCAAGATTGCCGGGAGAAATATCAATAACCTCAGCTATGCAGATGACATCACCCTTATGGCAGAAAGTGAAGAGGAACTAAAAAGCCTCTTGATGAAAGTGAAAGAGGAGAGTGAAAAAGTTGACTTAAAGCTCAACATTCAGA